CCGGCCATGGGGCTGCGCGGGCCCGGGGCTCCGGCGAGCTGAGGCGGCGGCGCCGGCCCGCGCGCCCCTTGGGGCCGCCCCCGCATCCCGCTCGCCGGCGTCTGGTTCTCATGATGATGAAGAAGAAGAAGTTTAAGTTTAAGGTGGACTTCGAGCTGGAGGAGCTCTCCTCGGTGCCCTTCGTCAATGGGGTCCTCTTCTGCAAGATGCGACTGCTGGACGGCGGCAGCTTTACCGCAGAGTCCCCCAGGTAACGCGCCCTCCGCGCCCCACGAGCCGCTGCGCCCTCGCCTGCCCCGCAGGGGTTTCTTTGATGGGCAGCTTGTCATTCCTCGGCCCGTTTGCTCCAGGGGGAAGGCCAGCCTCGCGAGCTTCTCTTTCTCTAGGGACCAGTCTGAAATCAGTCAGGAGTTTATTGATCTGCACAAAGTGCTTCGCAAATGGGTCCATCTCAGCTGGGCTTGGCTCCTGCTCTCCTGATTCCAGATGGTTCCCGGGATCTGCGCTTCCCTCCTAAATTCTCTAGGAATGGGAGCAATGGCAGGAAGGGAGAGAATACTTCTGGTTTATCTTAAGACATTTCCATATTTGCGAAATGCAAAGTGGAACTTGAATTGTCGTTAAAACAAAAACAAAAATAACTCAAACTGCTTGCGTTCCAAGAGCCCTGGCTGTGAAGAGAAACCTGTGTTTAGCATAACTCCTTTTCTCTTGTTGCTTACTCGGGGACTCCGAAGCCCAGGATGCGGCCAGGGTAGGCCCGATCAGGCTTGACTTGAGTCCGGTGGTCCCTGGCAGATAGACAACAGTTTGTGCCTCATCTGGGAGCTGCGTCTGCAGTTACGCGCTAACACTCACTGAATTACCAGTCTTGAGGTGGCCACTAGTGGCTCTCAGTGTGAAGGACTTAGAACCAGGAGAGCCCAGACCCGCCCTCATTTTGAAATGAGCCCCTGGGCACTCTGTCATTGGCAGGTTCCAGAATGAAGCCAAGGGTGATAGTGTTCCTTGAGTCATGTAAGGTCTATTTGGTAGGTTGACAGATTTGCTGTAAGGTAGGTGTTCCTTAAGAAAATAGGAAATTTACCGAAATTTTTAAAATGAATTTTCAAGTTCCTGAAATCAAGGTAAGAGGTTAACAGTTAATACTAATTTTGCCTAAATTTACTGCTCATAGACTTTATTTTTACCCTAAAAATATTCTGCTTTCTTTTTACATGTCATCCCTATTAGTGTAAAGGAAATAAGGTCAGTGGGTTGTGGAATTGGGGTCAGAAAATTGTCTGCGGTGGCAACGCTGAAGCCTCTAGAAGCCAGAAAATGTAAATGGCTAGTTGGCCAAAGCAAAGGCTGTATAAAGCATTATCGACTCTCAGAATTAAAGAAGTTAACCAAGGATACTTTTTAAGATTAAACTGTGCTGCCAGATCTTTTATGGCTATTCAGCTAATTAATTGCACTACAATCATTTTTAACACACGGGTGAGAGAACACTGTAACTTAAAATGGTGCAGCAAATATTGTACCAGCTCTTCAAGTGTGGAAAAGCCAAAACCAATTCTTGAATGTCCTGTAGTTGCAAATGACTGTCTTAACCCTGTGTCTTACCCTCTTTGCTGCAGGGTTCCACCCCGCCACTTCTGGCAGTTAGACCAGCTCTTCTGGGCCGCTGCTGACACCTGGTGGTCAGGGTACCTCTCTCTTACCTCATTCTCCCTCAGATTATTGATTTGGCTTGCTACTCACAAGTCAGTTATGCCAGTATTGCAGGCTGTCATTTATTCAACAAATACGTGTAGGTTGGGTCCTTTGAGTATATTATCTTATTTCATTCTCACAGCAAACCTGTGAGGTAGGGATTCCCATTTTGTGGATGAATAAACTGAGACTCAGAAAGCTTAACTTTCCCAAGACCTTCAGGTCTGGTAAGTAAAACGTCAAGATCTTGATACAGGTCTGTCTGATTTCAAACAGACTGATGTCAGATGAAGGAGAAAATTATGTGCTGTGCTGTGCTGTGCTGTGCTGTGCTGAATGGGGAGCTTCCTAATGATTTTAACAAGCAAGGGGTATAATTTGATTTCTAATTTGCAAGAATTGGAAAGGAAAAAGCGGAATATCCTGGGTTCAACTTACCCCTTTCTCTTCCAACAACAAGGTGGCCTTACCCCTACTGTTTGGAGGGAAATAATTTATAATAAGGAGGCTGTGCCTTGTTAGGTAGAGGTAGTTGGTGTAGAGCTAAGAGCAAGGATTTAGAATGAGGCAGATCTGCATCTAAATCCCAACTGCACCATGATAAACCTGGATGGGTTATTCAGCCTCTCAAAGTTTCCATCTATAAAATAGAAACCATCACTGGCCTATAGGGTTGTTATGAGGATTTAGTAAGATGATGTACCAAAAACAGCTATCACAGTGCTCTAGCACCCAATCAACATTTTTTCTTTTAAGATTTCTTTATTTGTCAGAGAGCACGCGCACAAGCAGGGAGAGCAGCAGACTCCTCGGGAGCCTGATGCAGGACTCAATCCCAGAACCCTGGGATCATGACCTGAGCCAAAAGCTTAACCAACTGAGCCAGCCAGGTGTCCACACCCAGCCAACATTTAAAGAGAAGACAAGGAGCTTGTCCAAGAGGGTTTGCTTCCTGTAAGATGTTGATACTTAATTCCTTTATCCTGACAATTACAAAAGTGTTGGTTTGAAAAAAGATACCTCATTTTATAAGAAAAGAAAAAAAGAAAACTTGAAACACCTAAAGGATATGAATTATTTTTAAATTGCATAACTTTTAATTCTTAGATGCCATTCTAGGCATCGCATCTCTGATTAAATGCTAGATTTTCTGGGTGCCTGGTGGCTTAATCGTTAAGTGTCTGCCTTCGTCTCAGGTCGTGATCCCAGGGTCCTGGGATCGAGCCCCACATTGGGCTCCCTCTCCCACTCCCCCTGCTTGTGTTCCCTCTCTTGCTGTCTCTCTCTGCCAAATAAATAAATAAAATCTTTTAAAAAATAAAAACAAAAATAAATAAATGCTAGATTTTAATTTAAAAAAAAATAAGGGGCACCCGGGTGGCTCAGTCAGTTGTGTCCCACTCTTGATTTCAGCTCATGTCATGATCTTGGTCCTGAGATCAAGCCCCGATCTGGCTCCATGCTCAGTGTGGAGTCTCCTTGTCCGCCCACTCTGCTCCTCCCCCTCTAAAATAAATAAAATTAAATCTTAAATCTTTAAAATAAAAAACTGTTGCCAACCAAAAAACAAAACCAAAATGCTTTATATGCCTCTTATAAATCAAATATGGTTAACACTGTAACATTTTCCCCATAAAAATATGAAATTAACTACATAGAAAAGGGTTAACATAGCAGGCTCAAGACTACTTTTCTTAGAAAGGCCTGCTTGCAATGTTTTTCCTGGCATCTGAGAACTTGAATGGTCACCAGTTCCCTACACTGATGTAAAACTTTAGAGTGTCTCACCGTGCCTAGACTACAAACAATGTGATTTATGCTGAATACTTTCTAGGAGTCTGGAATTTTGGTGCCAGGGGGAGAGTGCCTATATGACCAGCCCCCAAATGAGCTTCCTTGGTAGACAACATATGTTACTGTAATTTGATGCTGGGTGACTCTACGGGGAGAGGACTCAGAAGCTTCCACTTGGTTTCCCATGACTTTGGTCCATGGACCTTTCAGCTTTACTGATTCTGCTTTGTATCCTTTCACTATAATAAATCTTAGGTGTGGGTCTCCTGGCTGGCTCAGTTGGTAGAGCATGCAACTCTTGATCTTGGGGTTGTGAGTTTGAGCCCCATGTTAGGTGTAGAGATTACTCAAAAAAAAAAATCTTAGACATGAATACAACTATATGCTGAGTCTTGTGAGTCTTCCTAATGGATCCCTCAACCTGTGGATGGTCTTGGGGATCCCTGATGCATGAATGTACGTAAAGTAATAATTCATTTTTTAGAGAAAAGCCTTAGAGGGACATTGCAATTTATAAATATGTTTGGCTTTATACGGAAACTAAAGAGGCAGATCATTCATTGCTCACCAAATATTAACTGAGCATTTACCAGGTTTCAAGCTATGTGGCAGGGGCTCCAAGAAGCACAACAAATATAAAGGCCCATAAGGGAATTGGCTCTACTTAATGAAATTAGATCATAGAGGTATAATTACTTGACAGTAGGAGATCGTATGATTTAGTGCCTCATCAATGGGTCAGACAATATGTGAGTGTTGTTGAAATTCTGCAGGTAAAGAATTTATTTGCAGCTGTAATGGTTACTGAAAACCACAGTAGCTTTCCAGTGGAGTGTGCTGGGAGAATTAATTTGCATTAACAAGGAAGTGAGGATGAGAGGATAGCTTGAACAGGTCACCAGTAGGAGCTGTAGCTCAGCCTGACTGCAGAGAGAGTTCACACTGAACAGAAGCAGAAGATAAAGACTTTGAATACCATTATAGTTTGCTTTCCACTGCTCGTAGGATAAAAGTCAATTTGAAATTCTTGCACTAAGTTCTGTTGTGATTAAAGTGGTATTTAAACTGGCTAGCTGGCTGATGTTTGTCATAGATGAGAAATGGGGAGACAAATTAGGAGTCTGTTAAAATAACCCAGGCAGGAGCTAATAAGTACCTGAACTTGGAGGTTTTTCATAGAAGTGGCTGATAAAATGATTATGCTATGGGGGGTGGGGGGATGGATCAGCCTGGTGATGGGTATTAAAGAGGGCACGTTCTGCATGGAGCACTGGGTGTTATGAACAAACAATCAATCATGGAACACTGCATCAAAAACTAATGATGTAATATATGGTGATTAACATAACAATAAAAAAAATTTGAAAAAAAAAAAAAAGAAATCACTCTTATAAAAAAAAAATGATTATGCTATGACACATGCCTTGATGACATGACAGAGTAAGGAAGTCAAGAAGAATCTTTGTTTTGTTCTGTTTTGTTGAGGTGTATCACGGTACATGTGGGGTGTATTTGTTGATAGTATATTGTGGGGGAGGATATGAGGAGGTAGGTTATATGTTGGATACACTACACTGAGGTGACAGTGAGTCTGATATGCACTTGGAGACATATTTATTGTGGGTTTCTTAGAGTCTGGTCTATTGTAAGTAAGCCTGCTTACTGAACTTCTCATCTAGAATTTCCTTACCCTTTTTGCCCTTTTAAAGATTAGTAGTGAAAATTAATTTTGGAAGGATCCAGTTTCTGCTGGAAAAG